TTGCTTTGCAGGGGTTATATTTTTAGGAGTGAATAATTTTTGGGAAAGAAAGTTTTTGGCTTTTTACTACTCCATCTTGATACAAAAAAAAAGGATGAGAGAATCTTCCAAAGAAAGGAAGGAAGTAATCAAGTTGAAAATAAGTAACTCTATACATGGATGTATCCCTTTTTTTTGTATCAAGATGGAGTAGTAGAAAGCCAAAAACTTTCTTTCCCAAAAATTAATCACTCCTAAAAATATAACCCCTTCAATTCAAACATTTATTATCTAATGACCTAATTATATCATTCACATCTCTTAAGTATTATTAAGTATAACAGTCTACCTGAAAATGTAAAGTCTTATTCTGTTCAAAAGAAATCTATTAGACCATTCAAGAGACTATTAAGGTGATACCAAATTATTATGCATTATTTTTTTTTGTATTTTCAATTATCGTTGGTAAGACTACTTATTAACAAATATCACTAGATCTTTTTTTCTATTATTGTGTTTATATGTATATTAATGTTAACATTATCATCATTGTTGTATATTAGGATGTATCCTATTTGAATAAAGCATTTCATTTCAATAATATTTTCCTTGTCGTTGCACACGGCATTTTGTAAAAAAATTGTAGACATTTTAATGAGAGAAATAAAATTGTAACTCTAGGTTTGGAACTTGTGACATACCTGTTGAGGTAGTAAGAGGCAACTTCATTCAAGCTGTTACCCAATCTTCGCAGTATACTGTCAGTTTCCGACAACTTGAGAGCTGCTTCATAACACTCGATACTTTTGAGAAGCATCTGTTCGATGGTACGAATATCATAGATGAATACACATCTCATATGATTTTCGCCAATACTGATTCCATAGAAGCGTTCATCTTGCTCGAGTTGCTCCATCATTTTGAAGTCTTCTTCGGAGTTGTTGTGGAGTTGGATGTTGTAGTTTTCGGATTCAACTGCAAAATAATCATTGATGAGAGAAAGAAGTTGAATTCATATTTAAATCCCTTAATTAAATAATTATCAAGTAAAGGGATTCAAGAAAAGAGAATATTAGCACATGAAAAACAAAAATTCTATTACAATAGAGGAGCAAAAGACCTACTGCCTTTAATTGAAGGGGTAATGTGTATTACAGACAATGAGAAATTTGGGAGAGAGGTAAAATAAAGGGAGTTCATTCAAAAACAAAAAAAATTCCAAATTATTTTTTTGCCTATATCTTCTTCATTGGCAGACATATTGAAAAATCTGTCCACATTTTGCTATTGGCTATTTGCTATACAGGGTGTCATCTGACTTGGGCAACTCCCATCTTTGAATTTTTAAATACGGAACTGTATTTTTTGTTGTAGTTTTTGGATCGTAGACGTTCACTCCATACTGAGAAATCAATTTCAATTTTATATTTCAGGATTTTTCGGTAATACTCGATTATAACTGTGTGAATTATTCCCTTTTAAATTACGGCCCTGGAAATTGGTTGACTGAGTTGTCTTCATTATAAATTTGATCAGCTAGTGTTTCTATATTATCTCCTGAAATTGATAACAAAGTGTTGTCTGCAAAAAGATTCATGAAATCACAACCATGGATAGTATCTATATCATTCAGGTAGATTAAAAATAATATAGGTCCCAAAACACTGCCCTGAGGTATATGTTAAATTCACTGCAAATATTTAAAAATTGTACACTGGCTGAAGGACTTCGATTGATGGCCCTTTGGTATTCACCAATAAATGACATTTATTATTATTTATTTTTTTATTTTACTTACCCCATGTTTGTATCATCATAATGCAGCAATCTCCAGCCCTACCCAATAGACAGTTCTCACGAAGAGCAGCAGAAGTGTACTGCAACTTGTTCATCACCAACTGACACCTAGTCAGAAGTCCTATATACCGCAAACTCGTTCCATAATTACGTTTAACAAAGTGATACTCGGACAAGGTGGCATACACAAGTACCGCTTTTTCATAGAGAAGGGTCTTCAGGTGATCCTTCCACGATATGTCACCTGAAACCTTTTCGTTCCACGTAGGCAGTGGTTGCGCTTCGTGCAAGTTCTTTGGCAGAAGTGCGTTGCTGAGCTTCTCTTGATTTTTGTCTATCGTAGGTTTTTCTTCGGATTTCTTCTTGCGATCTTTCCTTTTGTTTTTCCTATTGGTTTCTTGAACAGGTTTTTCGTCTTGAAGTTTTGAGTAAGGCATAGGTATAGGCTCGAAAGGTTTGGCCATTTTTATCTCTTCCTCTTCATTACGATTGATCTCAGTGTTGGATGGTTGTTCCGGAAAGAATTTGAGGCAATTCAAGCCAGCAGCCACATGATGAATGGCCTGTATAAGGAAAAGTATAAGAAATTTTTCAATGAAAAGCTAGTTAAAACTATTCTAGCCGCTTAAATTTTAAGGGTTATCCTAATCAACAATGTGTGTACAATGGTTCTAATATAAATATGGAGGGGTATCGTGATGACAAAAGTAAATTATGGAAGTGTCACTATTTTTCGTCGATTTTTGGAATTTCTTCCTGACGTTTCGCTGGCGCAAGTGGCTACCTTCTTCAGAAGTTTATACATATTGAGTTATCTCCGATGACTGGATATTATGGCTGGGTAATAGTCTCAGGTAGTTTGGTGTGCTAATGTACCTGGATTTGGTAAATTGCATAAAGTTTGTTCATGTTGACTCAGGTAGTTTGGTGTGCTAATACCTCTAACTGGATTAGGTAAATTACGTATAGTCTGTTCACGTTGACTCAAGTAGTTTGATGTGCTAATACCTGTACCTGGATTAGGTAAATTGCGTAGAGTTTGTTCATTTTGACTCAGGTAATTTGGTGTGTTAGTACCTCTACCTGGATTAGGTAAATTGCGTAAAGTTTGTTCATGTTGACTCAGGTAGTTTGGTGTGCTAATACCTCTACCTGGATTAGGTAAATTGCATAAAGTATGTTCATACTGACTCAGGTAATTTGGTGTGCTTATACCTCTATCTGGATTAGGTAAATTGCGTAAAGTTTGTTCACATTGATTCAGGTAGTATGGTGTACTAATACTTGTTTCTGGATTAGGTAAACTGCGTAAATTAATGTTGACTCAGGTAGTTTGGTGTGCTGGATTTGGTGTACCTGGATTGGGTAAATTGCGTCAAATATGTTCATGTTGACTGAGGTAGTTTGGTGTGCTAATACCTGTACCTGGATAAAGTAAATGGCGTAAAGTTTGTTAATGTTGACTCAGGTAGTATGGTGTGTTAATACTTGTACCTGGAATAGGTAAGTTAAGTTCATGTTAAAATCTGGAATAGGTAAATTGCATAAAATCTATTCATGTTGACTCAGGTAGTATGGTGTGCTAATACCTGTACCTGGATTAGGTAAATTGCGTAAAGTTTGTTCATGTCGACTCAGGTAATTTGGTGTGCTAATACCTGTACCTGAATTAGGTAGATTTTGTAATGTCTGTTCATGGTGACTCAGGTAGTTTCGTGTGCTAATACCTTTAGCTGGATTAGGTAAATTGCGTAAAGTATGGTAATGTTGACTCAGGTAGTTTCGTGTGCTAATACCTTTACCTGGATTAGGTAAATTGCGTAGAGTATGGTAATGTTGACTCAGGTAGTTTGGTGTGCTAATACCTGTACCTGGATTAGGTAAATTTCGTAATGTCTGTTCATGTAGTTCCGTGTGCTAATATCTGTACCTGGATTAGGTAAATTGCATAAAGAATGGTCATACTGACACAGGTAGAATGGTGTGCTAATACCTGTGCCTGGATAAGGTAAATTGTCAACAACATTCGCCAAAGAAATTCAAAAAAATCGACGGTTTTCAAAACTGAAAAATGGTGCCTGGATAAGGTGAATTGTCAACAACATTCGCCAAAGAAATTCAAAAAAATCGACGGTTTTCAAACCTGAAAAATGGTGACACTGAAAACCTCGGCCGTGAAAGCCTTAAACGTATGGAAGCTATCTATAATACAATGCAAACATTTTATATATCTTATGACACTCTAGAAAACTTACTGAAGAACACTTTTCCACCACACCTCCTGTAATCGGAGCAGGCGTTTTGTAGTAATTTTTGAAATGTTCTACCCTGCTATTATCTAGTACAAGAACTTTCATAGCTTCCTCTTCATTTTCATCATCAGACAACTCATCATCAAAGTAACTCTCCTCGTCTTGATCATTCTCTTCTAGCCCAGGATTTTCTGGATTTGTATTTGCAGGAACATAAAGATCAGCGAGCATGTATAGTGAAGAAGTAACAATTTCTGGATACTTTTCGTGAGGCAAAAGCTTAATGCAATTTTTCAGCAGCATACGAATAGTACCAGGTTGTTGCCTGTCAATGGAGTGTTTCATATTCCTTGCTACCCTGTATAGTAACATTGCAACGGGTATGGTGAAAGGATTTTGCCCCTTCTCCACATCAGTTTCTGAACACAAACTCGTGAGGTCATAAAGTTTAACAACCTTAAAAAATATCACAAATAAAAGTGGCTCCAGAGATTTATAAACATTTGTTCTTACCTCTTCGTCTTTCCCTTTGAACAGCCAATAAGTATGTCCAGCTTTGGTGGCATTGGACTTCAAAAAACTCAAAATGCTCTGCGCTACATCCCTTATCAGTTTAGGTGAAAATTTCGAGTCTCCCATCCTTGGTAAATCTTCCGTTTTGACTAGTTCGTATTTCTGCACAATGCCGTTCAGATGGTAGCACATTACAACTTCAGGAACGTTGGACATAAGGTTATCAAGCCAGTAGTCAATTCCAGTCAGCACATTAATCGGTTTACTCATGTCTCTCAAACGCAGAGAAATGCAAGGATGAGTGCCTCCACCAAATATAGGCATGTCAGTACCTGAAGAAAGGCATTATTACATAGAATATGGTGTCCACTAATGCCTGATGATATATTTTAATGAATGATTTGACTTCATTTTGTTTGTAAGTGTATTTTTATTGTATAGAATATTGATTTACTAATTTAAACCTACCTAGTAACATATCTATATCTTCAAATGTCCAAACAACATTTCTATTGTACTTGTGATCTGGTGTTGATGAATCCGGGCACTCTGTAGATGGGGACGGTTCAGGTAAAATGGGGTCTTGGGCAGGATGACAACTAGTACTCTCAACCAAATCATTTGTTTCTTTAGCATCAGTTGGAACCAAACTATGGTACAAAAACTTGGACACCAAACTTCTTTCCTTCAGAGCTTCTCTTCTACGGCTCTTGAAATATAAGTGCTTTTCTTCTTCACAAGTTGCTCTATTGATGTTTTCAAAGAAAAACTTGCGTAACCATTCCCATTCAGTTTTGGAAGTTCTAAGAAGGTGTTTGTATATATCAAAATCATCTATAAGCAGAGTGTTTTCTATCCTATGAACCATCATACTGACGTGACCTTTGTGATATGGAATTTTGAGAAGCTTCTTTATGTTTTCTGCATCTGATACTACGTCCACTTCTCCCACACAATCCGGAAACATCTGAGCCATTCTGAAACTGTACTGACACAGGCATGGATAAGTACGTGCTTGTAATAATAGTTCAGGGTAATCTTATGCTTCAAAATTCTCAGAACTTTCTACAAAATGAATCCAACGCATATAATGTAAGCTCTAAAATTTTTTGTTAGAAAATTGCACAGATGAAATACAACTTCCCAACCATTTTATTCAAATATTAATTGGATTCACGCTCAAGTTTCAAGTTGGAGGGAATTTATTACTATTAAAACAGGGTATTGACCTTAAATGTAATGAAATCCAACTTTATATAAGAAAAAAACAAAAACCATGAAAATAAATGTGAAAATTGAACAGATTCAAACAGGGTATGACTATATGAGAATTATTTTACATCCAGAATAAAATATGGTTACTTTCATGACTATATTAAGAAAAGTTACATTACATTTTGATTTTTGCAGTACAATTCTGTTGTTTCTGATTGCTGATCAATTTAATATTTTCCAAAAATTACAAAATTGAACTACGAAGACAATACTGAATGGTAACAAAACCAACCCTATTAAAGAAATGTTGAATATGTACTTCAATGTTGATGTCAGACACATAATCCACTATAACATGTTGATTTTCATTTTCAAATCCAATAAAAAAAACAAGTTATACAAAAATTTATTTCACAGACCCACTAAAAAATATTGGCACTATATTAGCATAGTACTGAAAGAAAAAAATCAAATGAGTTTGAATTTCTAGCATCCTAGTTTGAAAATTGAAACATTATTTAATGAAGGACTGATCCTAGGAATTGAAGAAAATAAAAACAGTGTACATATATTCAAAAATAAGTGTACTGAAGATATTAAATATTATATGCAATATTAGTGATATAGTGTAGCATTATTTGCCACTAATAAGTAAGCATGCTACATTTGAAAATCAAAATTACCTATACTCAATTATTTAACAAATATATTTATATTACTAACTTGTATCCTTATAATACCTTAATGTAAATTTTGAATGTTACTGATTGTTGAGAGCTTTCGTGCTGATTAAGAGTGAATATATGAATGTTGCTATCAAAAATCAAGCAAAATTACGATGTTACCTCAATTCCTTGATAACTTCATACAATAACTATCTACTCACCTAGAGAATCCTTTGTGATGAGAAAGAACTTGCTGCAAACCATAAGAGTCTGCAGAGCTACTTAGCCAATTCGAAGGGGGCATATTCAAATCAGTATTACATTGTAATTTCATGAATTGAGCTGGTTTGGGCAAAGAATACTTCACAATAGCTGTTGACTTTATTTCTTCACTTTCTATGACATCGTTTTTATTTTCATCCATTGTGACGAATTATTTGAGATCTCATTTACTCAACTTTGGTGATAAAAGTATTTATAGCAATAATCGTGTCTTTGTATACATACAATTTCACCACAATAAAAATCTGCACAACTCAAAACCTTGTTACTAACCTAAAAATCTTTGACAGTTCTAGAAAAATAAAAGAAGATTCTGGAAGTACTGTTTATGTATATAATGATGCATGGAAACTACAGAATAGAAACCGTGGGAACATTCGCTTTTATTTTCTCAAATAACTCTCGAGTCGAGAAATGAGATTGTCTTAACTTTGTACAAATGTTAATAGATGGTGCACCAATCGCAATCTGTAGCGCGTATTAAATCTTGAAAAAACTTTCATCTAATATCGTTTTATTTCCAAATGTAGACAATATTGAACATTGAAGTGCGAATTTGACATTGTCAGGCTGCTTTACTTAAGTTGTACTCAGCACCTCTGTGAATGAAATGCTGAAATTTATTGGATCTTTTCATTATTTCTTTATCAAGTGTGCCGTAGGTCGAAAGGTTTTATTAGACAAGATATTTCACATTGGGAAGGAATACAAGTGATCATACCAAGGATATTGTACGCATCTTGAGAGAGAGAGGCCATCGATTTCCCATTGAATAGATTAAACATTTCCTATCTTATTGGACTGGAGTTCGGAGTAGTTTGCTCTGAAACAACATTGAAAAAATGACTTATATCTCCCAAAATTAAGTCTTCGTGGTAACCAGTGAATAATCCATCGCTCTCATTTACTCAAAGTAAATTGTCAACGGCCACGTGAAAAGGGGTTTCCTTTCGATTGTAAACTATGAAAATATAATTTTTAATATTTCATTATAGAAATAAAACAATTACTACTGTAATAAATAAATATCCATATCCGTAGAGATATTTTGCTTTGAGATTAACTTTTGCAAAAATGAAAATTTCATAATTCGTGTTACTGATGTAATTTTTATGTTTGATGATGTAATATGTATACACTTTGGAGAAAAGGTCTTGCAGCCTCAGCTTTAAGGTGAAAATGTTCATTTCAAGTGAGGATATGAAGATAGTTCATCATTTACGCAATATCAATGATTGAAGTGTCTGGGTGCCTTATTGGTGTCCAAACCACTGTCCTGAACGTGTTATGTTGTAGATTATCTACTTTTTATCACACGTGACGATCCGATCCAATAAAGAATCGTTTCGGTTGCGCAAAAGCAAAGAAGAACAGTCTTCGAAATGTTACAATTTCTGTCGATGATTCAAATCATAGGGCACCCACTTTTCGAGTTTTTTGACCAAACCATCAAAAATCCTATGGGAGCTTATGCCCAGTTCTTTCGCCATCCCACGCACCGTTTGTGATGGACCAATCTTCACCAGGGTCCTCAAAACCTTGTCCTGGAATACTGTAGGTTTTCATTTTTAACTACTAAAATATTTGCTCTTATTCAGGATTCTGAAAATCAATTCCAATGTGAAACGCTTCTTTCGCGCAGACACCGCTCTAAGAGCGCCTTATGGATTTTCCTCTAGTGCTTGTGTTTAGTCCTTGAAAGAAATGTTTTATTGGAAATGATATTACATCTATAAATATTTTCTCCACTTCAAGTAAAAGTAAGTATCATTGTCCAAACGAAATTCTCACATAGTCTGTCTATAATATGATGATATTTGAAGATATGATAGTACAAAGTACCTTGCGAAGTAGCACAGAGCTGTGTTAGTGGGTTATTCATGGCGTTTTCCATCAGTAAAATCAGTGCACTTTCATTGTAGTTGATATATTGTAAAAGAGGAAAGAGCAACTGAATGCGCAGGGGCAGTATGTGCACTAGTTTTACCAATGGAAAGCGTCGGATTAGAATTTTCAAGAATATTTGAAATAATTTCGATAATTGAATTAAACCAGGTGTGAATATGTTTGAAAACTTGTGCCATAAACGAATTTGTTAACATTTTGCAACTAGAAGAAACATTTATCTGAAATTGGCACCTAGCACCTACTATAACCTTAAATTCAAATTTGTCTTTTTTCATTTGATACCTGAAATGAAACCTTTACCCTACCTCAGCAAATATCTTGTATTTAACATCTTTCACTTATGTTCCTGTTTCATTCTTTCGTATTGTGGAGGTAATTTCTATAATACATCAATAAGGTATCATTTGTATTTTCAAATTTTTTGTAGCAAATACTTTACATCTAATGGATGGCACTTCTACTGCAGAAATTATTAATGGGGACGTATTTTTTGAGATAATCGAACCATCTGAATTGGAGTACACATATAGAATTCGACCAGCAAAAGGTTTTGGGGCACCCTTTGTAAGTGATGATATTTGTAAGTATTTAAATTTACATTTTTTCATTACAGAATTCGTCATTTCACATAAAGAACGTGCCTTTGATACCAGTATTGCCAAAAAATGGCTGTAAACCACCTGATAATTTGGATGATGTAGAGGGAAACGTTGCATTCATCGAAAGAGGGTGAGTGAAATCAGGGCTCCAATTCTTGAGTTCACACGAAAGTCAGTGGTATTTGACCTCATATAGCACAAAATATACAACCTAAATATGCTGTTCTTGTGAATCGATTTTCTTGTAAACTTTCAAATCATCTGCGATGCTCAGAAATTCTGCATCAGAAAATCAGTACCGAATGTCGTCCATAAAAACTTAGTTTTTGTGAAGCATGAATTCGGGTCATACTAACACGGCCGGTGTTGCCAGGTCATTTTTATGCTTGGCAGTAGATTATCTGGTAATTTCCACCTTTACAGTCATTTGATGATCATTATGAAAATTAAACTGACTCATCAGTACATTTTAACTCTTGACCAGTAGAATAGTACCTTGAAAGCCAAAACAGGATGTCTACTGCAAAATGCATATACCTGGCAACACGGAACACATCGCTCTTCTCGTGCGATTTTTTTATCTGCAGTGGATTGGGTCACAATATTCCACAGTCTAATTGCATTACGGCTTCGTTACGAAAGATTCGCACAATCAATAACGTCATAACCTGTATTGTTTTTGCACATAATCTAACAAAACAGATCGTTGTCAATTTGTTCATTCTTTAATTTTTTGAATTTCTCGAATGTTTTTAATATTTATTCCGGGTGGAGACCAATCCAACAAGTATAAATGTTTTAACTACACGATTTCGTGACTTTGTTTTATATGTTAGAAATTTTGTTATCGATTTTTCAAATATTTTTAAAGATAATCTGCTATTCTGGGTAAAGACAAATTCAAAAATCAAATATGGCTGTTAACTTCATCCGGTTTCACACTTTTTTATTTTTTGACAAATTATTGTTGCCAGTTTATCGTTACTTCTGATCATTATCAATCAATAACTCATTTTCCGACAGGGACTGCTCTTTCAAAAGAAAAGCTCTCATTGCTGAACAGGCAGGAGCTAGAGCTGCAATCATAAGTGATGTTACTGATTCCAAAGACGAATATTTCATCGAAATGATCGATGACCATACTATTGACGAAGTAAATATTCCCGCTGGATATCTTATGGGTAAAAATGGTTTGATGATTCTGAACACGCTGCGGAGACTTCGAAGAACGTACGCCCTCATAAACTTGCCTGTCAATTTGACGTACACACCAGTACACAAGATGAACCAACCTCCTTGGATGGGTTGGTAAGGGAAACTACAAACAAGAGAATTATTATGTTGGTCACCTGAAGGTTGTCATGTGTTTTTCTTTTGCAAAATTAGGAATTGTGATGTTTATTGTTACATTCTTGATTATGTTTGTTGGTACATTATTGTAACTATAGTCTAACTTATAATAGGCAATAAACATGTTAAGTTTTGAATTCATTTTCTACATGTATTGAAAGGAAGGTTATTTTAAAAGTTATTTAATTTATGTTCAGTAAATTAATTATTATTTATCAACAAATTGGCTACTCCATGCCGAAACTCAGCCTGACTTGGAAACATTAAATTGTGTTGATAGGTTAAATTGAGGCCTCTCGCAAATGAATCTATTAAAATCATACCAGTACAAAAGTACTTTCAGACATCTGTTGTCTATGTAAATAATCATGCTATTTTTCAGAATATTTATTTATGGGTCAGGTTCACTACAGAATTGTTATTGAATCCCAAATGGTACATCAAGAAAGTTTCAATTGTAGAAACCAGTCAAGCATTAGAGTTCAGTTATGAACCCAACAAGTAAGATCCTTAAGATAAACTATTGTAATTGCTCAAAAATAAATAAACCTATTTATTTTTATTACTCCAGTACACCACAAACTATTAATAAAATACCAAATGGAACATAAAGAAGACAAAATATTAAAAAGACAAGAATAAGCATAAAGACATTCAATACTAATGTTCAATTAAATTATAAAACAAAACGTAACTATGTCAAGTACATTACAGAATTGTCCCAAATATTACATCAATGTGCAAACAAACCCTAAAGTCAAGTTATAGTAAATAAAGGTATGCATTTTGATTTGTCAAGTAGTACAATCATTAAATGAAGTAATAAACGACTATTCAGAAGTTTAATGAACAATCTCTGGACGAAGTCGTCTGATTGCCATTTTTTTGAATTCTAAATGAGACAAATGAAAAAGATCAAGTTCTGAAAAGTATGTAATGAAATTTTTCTGAAGTCTACAACTCATTGCCATCGAGCTATAGTTAGTCTTGTAGAATCGCAACCCAAATGAAAAAATGTGATCACTTCTTAAGGATCTTGAGTTAACAGAAAGGCAAGGCTCATTTAAATTAGCTGAACAATTGTAGTGGAAGTTTATCATTTCATGAAGGAATATAACCATTGAAAGTTTATGTCTGTCGTCAATTGGTAATAAATCTAATACAGACAGCCTCATTTGGCAAGTTAAATCCAAAGTAGGGTAGGTCAAGTTTCCAAATTATATATTTAGTGAAGCGATTTTGCACTTTTTCAAGTCTCTATGACAAAATCTGTTTTTCCGTTAATCAGCTGTCGCCTCCATACGAACGACAACTCTCAGAAGTTGAGAAACTTGTGCGAGCTAAGGACTATCGAGGTCTTACCTTTTAACGTGTAATTCCTAACTCGGTTGCAGAATCATCCCAGCATCAACCAGATAAATTATCTTGAGAAAAATATCTGGTCCGAGGCGGGAATCGAACCCACGGCCTTCCGATCGTGAGTCGGGCGTACTACCACCGCGGCCACTTCCACAACAAGCTTAAAGACACCAAATAACACTACTATATTCCGAACCAGTGAAAAGTATAATGACTTTATAGCATCATATTCTGTAATATGGCGGGTATTCCTTTTGATGAATCCGAGCATTCTGAATGCTTTATTACAGATATTATTGACATGATCAATAAATCTTAGATCTTTATCGAAAGTATTTCCCAAATCACTAAAGCTTTTGACAGTTTGGAAGAGTTACATCATTAATGGAGTAGTTTCCAATGACAGGCTACCTTATTCTATAAAATCTCAATACATTAGATTTCTTAACGTTAACTTTTAAACAATCAGAATCACAGTAGGTACAAAACCCACCCAGGTCATTCTGAATACATTCAATATCATTGGTAGATTGCACTGTTTTGAAAAACTTAAGGTCGTCCGCATACAGAGAGATATTACAGTGTTTAAACACTGATTTAACATCATTAATAAAGAGTAGAAATAATATAGGCCCAGTGTGCGAACCTTGTGGAACCCCTGAAGTCACATGAATTGTTTCTGACACTCTGTCAGCTATCCTCACATTCTGCAATCTACCGGAAAGGTAGGATTCAATACATTTCAAGTATCTGCCCGTTATTCCAAAATTGTTAAGTTTTAAAATTAATAGTTCATGACAAACTGAATCGAAGGCTTTAGCAAGGTCCGTGTAGATAACATCAACTTGGAACCCTTGCTCAAGCTTATTTGTGATGAAGTTTTGATAAACAGACAAATTGGTGGCAATAGACCTTCCCTTGTAGAATTCACGTTGTTCGTCTATTATGACGTGTTTGAAATTATTAAATATTTCATCCGCAATTAAAGATTCAAATACTTTGGGAATGCAAGAAATTTTCTGAATATCATTTCTGTTTCCACTTTTGAATACTGGAGAAAGGGCAGATTTTCTCTGGAACTCCTGGAAATCGGAAAGGTAGGATTCAATAAATTTCAAGTATCTGCCCGTTATTCCAAGATTGTTAAGTTTTAAAATTAATAGTTCATGACAAACTGAATCGAAGGCTTTAGCAAGGTCCGTGTAGATAACATCAACTTGGAGCCCTTGCTCAAGCTTATTTGTGATGAAGTTTTGGTAGACAGCCAAATTGGTGGCAGCAGACCTTCCTTTGTAGAATCCATGTTGTTCGTCTATTATGACGTGTTTGACATTATTAAATATTTTATCTGCAATTAAAGATTCAAATACTTTGGGAATGCAAGAAATTTTCGAAATACCCCTGTAATTCTGAATATCATTTCTGTTTCCACTTTTGAATACTGGAGAAAAGACAGATTTTTTCCAAACTCATGGAAAAATCCCTGTATCAAATAATCTTTGAAAAAGTATTTTAAGGGGATGTGATAAACTGTGACAGCACTATTATTTTCAATACCAAAGAAACATATTTTAAATTTATCCAAATTCAGCTTCAGTCAGTGTTCTTCAGCTGATTTTTTAACCTTTTTGAGTTCATTGTTAATGATTTCCATTACGGTTGCGGTATTTCTCGATATTGAAGGAGCATTTGACAGTGCCCTACCTAAATGTATAGGATCATCTCTGGCTAGGAAAGGCATAGAATCGACCATAACTAGATGGATCTATGCCATGCTGGTAAACAGACCTACGACTCTTCAAGACGAGGCGATTATTTGGTCAAGTGTGACTAGGTGTGAGCCACAATAAATCCTTGCGGGTTGCGGAGTAGGGTCGATTTTGACCCACTCACTATCGATCTAACCCAACCCAACCTAACGATTTCCATAGCTGCATCTGAGCTCTTCGTAATGAAATTCAGATACAACTGTGTATAATCTGCATAGACCTGCACATTACAACGTTCCACCTCATTTAAAATATTTACATTGTGGATGATGAATATGATCCGCTTACGAAACCTCAATTTGGCACAAAATAATTCCTGACTATCGTATCAAATGCTTTGGAGAAGTTCAGTAATACCAAAGCAGTTGATAAATGTGTCATTTGCAGGTAAGATATCACTAGTTATAGCTGCCAGAACTGTTTCAGTTCTTCTACCAGATCTGAAGCCACATTTTTCAAAAGTTCACTACTTAATAGCAAAATGAGTAGTTGGAAACTCGACTAACAACAACAATATGGTTTTTGTGCTGGGAAATCGACTTAATTAAACCTAGTTACCTATTCCCAATTCCTCTCGGAATCTTTGGAGAAGGGCTGCCAGATTGATTCTGTGTACACTGACTTCTCTGAGGCGTTTGACAGGATCAACCATAACCTCTTACCCCAAAAGCTCAACAGATATGGTTTAGGTGGGGTACTACTGGAATGGATTAGTAGTTATCTTACGAATAGGACTCAAATGGTTAGAGCAAATTATCACTACTCCACGTTATTCAAAGTAACCTCTAGTGTTCCTCAGGGGTCACACCTCGGTCCTTATTATTCAATTTATTTATTAACAACATTATTCATTGCTTCCTGCACGCCAAAGCACTAGTATTTGCAGATGATTTAAAACTTTTCCTAATAATCAAAACCGAATTGGATGCCCATAGGCTTTAGTCTATCAAACTGGTGCTCCTTAAATGGCGTGGACTTGAATACCACAAAGTGTCATTTCATGCGCTTTTATCGGTCCCATGTACCACTTTTGATTACACTTTAAACGGTCATGTCTTGGAGTCTGTTAATCTAATAAAAAACCTTGGGGTTGTTCTTGATCCCACCTTGAGCTTTAATCTACATATAACCACGGCTATCCATGAAGCCATGAAAATGCTAAGGTTTATCAAACGGCTAACCCACGAATTCACTGTCTGGTCCCCTCATTGTGTAACTTATATTAAGAACATCGAAAATGTCCAACACAACTTCCTCAGATACATAGCATATAAATCGGGTGTTCGTTGCGAGTTTGAGTTGCTACTGCAATCTCTGAGCATGTCCTCCCTGGAAACTAGGAGGAATCAGAGAGATCTGACACTACTTTTCAATATTATTAAAGGCAAATTCAGTTGTGCTGAACTCCTAGAAAAAAAATTATCTACATGTTCAAAACCGCTTAACTCGACAGCAACATTTTACGTACCATTTCATCGTTTGAACCACACATTCGTGTTAGGAATCACACGTTAAAAGGTAAGACCTCGTTAGTATTTAGCTCGCACAAGTTTCTCAACTTCTGAGAGTAGCCGTTCGTGTGGGGGCGACAGCTGATTAACGGAAAAACAGATTCAATAGCTGCATTGTAAAATTAAAATTCCTTTTTGTTCAAGGTTGATATATGAAAACCTTTTTAGAATTAAAATCACATTATCACACCTTTAATTATTATTTACTTTATATTCAGGAGCTTCTAATAGGGAAAGGTAAGCACATCAATTCAATATGAAATTCCTATGATGCCTGTTTTTACAAGTGTGCCATACATATTGATTGATTATATTATTTTTATATGAGTACTGATGAAAATGTCAAGATTTTCATTGTTGTGGTTCAGATTCAACAGTAAACATCCAGATAGTATTTGTTGCAATGTGTCCCAGAAGTATGTTGTTTGTGGTGAGTAATATATAATAGAAATATACAATCTTAGGATGCTAGATTTCATGAGGTATTACCCAAAAAGA